TATATAAATATAATAGGTATATGGTTTGATAAAAAAAAAGTTTGCTAAGAAAATTACTTTTGTTTATTGTTTACTAAAGCTGAAAGGAAAAAAATTATTATTACTACAATATAATCCGGGGTTTTAACCACTCGACTAATCCTCCAATGTGATTCTAGTCATCGAGTAGTCCTCTCATCAAGTTTTCTAATGGACGTAAATTTTGACAACATTTTGACAACTAGCCAAACGGGAGTGATGATTTAGATAATTTTTTGTTTTAGATTTATCAGTCCCCTACCGATACCGAGGTGGCTAACTCCTCAATTGGAAACCACTAAACCACTACCACTTGGTTGATTAAAATTTCTGTAAGAATATTAGAAAATTAATTACTGATGGAGTACTTATAAATATGGGAAACTAGGAAGTTGATAAATATTTCAAAAACAAAGTGAATAAGATACCTTTCTAAATTCTTTTGTCCAGCAAGTATTGCCTAAAGCCAGCATTGTCGTAGTTTATAATCAGAACCAAAAGCACCAAAAGGAATAGGAACAACAACAAAAAGAGCTAATATATAGACATAGAAAATAAAGGAAGAGTTATAAAATTTCAAATGCAAGGGAGAAACCATCGAACATCTTTGAGCTTCATGTTGGAGAGACTAGGGAAGCGTTTGAAGGTCTTGGTTTCAAGATTGAACACACAAATGTCCAGTTTTAAATTCTGCCAGTGAAAAACATGTAAAATAGATGGAGTTTGGCTCGATACCGGGCACAGTGATACCCAAGTCAAGGAGCATAGCCTCTTCATCACCTAGAGAATGTACCTCAACAAGTTTGCAGTGTTCATCTGGATCTGCTTTAGGATCCTTCTTGAAGAGGCTGAAGCTCTTGCGGCTTTCAATATTTGTCTCGTAAAGGTTGTTCTGAACCACCAAAACCTCTCCTGATGTTGTAACCACATTGCTACAAATTCTAGGAGAACCCCATCTAGGAAACATTTTGAATGAATAATTTCGAGGAACATAATCGAAACCTATTTGGTTAGACAAATCGAGGATTTGAATGAAATATATACGAGTCATAGCGATGTAAAGAAAGTAACCATGGAGTACAATATCAGATACTCTTTGAAACGGATTGAGGAAATGGAATCGTAGTTCAATGTGACTGTAATGATCATCACCTTCCTTGCAATAGGTTATAAAGTTGCAATTGTCTTTGATGAACCAAACTGCAACAAACTGAAAGGACCTGAAGCGTCACACGACCTGGTCAACGTGTTGACTTTTCGGTTTGCCTCAAAACCGAAATCTTTAAAAATTCAAGTAATGAATAAAACCAACCTGAGAAAAATAATTAGAAATGGGGTGATTAATTAATTACTCAGTGAGAGGGTCAACACTGCCCACTGAAATACAATGACAAGTTGACAACAATCTACTCACATTCAACAATCGTTACATAGCATAGGATCAGACTCCATATTTTTGACATACGTCCCACAAACATACATATTCTTACATTACTCAATCATATACAAAATCAACAACAATAAAACTAAACCAAAATCCCATCGGCTTAGCATGGCACGAAACTAATCCCAGGCTCGTCCAATCGCCAGGCTCGAAACCAATCCCAGGTTCGCCCAATTACCAGGTACGAAACCAATCCCAGGTTCGCCCATCACGAGACACAAAACCAATCCCAGGTTTGTGTCCCCATCACATCAACTCATATTCTATCACAATGAATCATCATGTTATGGATAAAGCTTTCATATCATACATCATATCATCCTACCAAGTCACACAATATCAATCAACGAACAAATAAACAAGCACGTAGTTTCTAAACTTATACAAGTAATTCATGTAAAACATGCGTAGAAAGTAACTAATGTATTTCCGCAAATCCGCCTTCACGTTTGCCTTTTGATGACGAAGAACAGCTCACTTAAGTGTCAACTAAACACACTAGTAACTTCACAATGGACCGTTAACTCCTTAATCCCACCGTTGCATTTGAAGCGTGTTGTACCAAAAAACTCTCCACCAAAATTCAGCTTGATCGGATTAGTATTGGACCTCCAAACACTGCCCCAAAGAAGGTACCTCAGATCTGTTTTTCTAGGGTTTTAGGTTAACCAGTTTCAGATGTTTCTTGCGCACAAAGCAAAGGTCGTCCTAGCTAGGGTTTACCTTTTCCGGCAATTTTGGCGACTTGGGTGGCTTCCCTGATACCTCCTCTATCATTACCCACCGTCGGGTTTGTCTAATTCTCTCAGGTATGACCGGAATCCTCTCCCAAAAACCCCAACTTGAACCTGAAATTTTTATCTGAAAAACTTAGTTTTTTTTCAGATATCAGAACCAGTGATTTTTCCTCAACTTACGAGATGGATTCTGAATGGAATATACCTCCGTTTGACAAACCGTAAATTGCTATGGCTTCCTTGCAGTGAGATCTATTCAAAGAGGTCAAGATATCAATATAACGTCGTCTGGTGCGACGGGAAATCAATCCACAAAACTCTTACGTGGCACAGTTTTCTCTTCTTCTTCTTCACAATAAAAACCCAGATTTAATCTAAGGATCCAAGAGATCAAATCACGAACTTGTAGGAGAAGAAGTCATAAAAAGATTAGGTTTCTTACCCAACAAACCAATGATGACAAAAGCTCAACTCCGGTGAACAACGGTGATGAACGGTGGCTCCGACGGTGATATATAGCGAAGAACAACAAGGGTGGCTACGGTGCTCAACAGAGAAGAAGGTGGAATAAGGGTGGCTATGGCTACTGCTTAGGGTTTCAGGTTTTCTCGTGCCTCTGCTTAATGATTCATGTAATGCTTGGTCGTTTATAAATAGGGATTGGACGTTAATAGTTAGCTAGGGTTTTGACGTTATAATTAACTAGGGGTTGGACGTTATTGCTTGTGTGAAAAGGAAAAAAAAAAGGAGCAATAGCATTGAGTGTAAATTAAATATGTAAAACTACAAATTATTTCAAAAGTTGAATATATATACGTTATTTTTTCTTTTTGTTAAGAATTTGGAAATGGTAATGTTTTGGAAGGAAGCCAATGGTTCGTATCCCTAATATGATAAGTAAATCCATTGGGAGGGAGGCAAATAAGAAGCAAGTATCATGAGAGCAAAATAGTTACCACCACAGCCCAAACAACTTATTATGTTTGCATTAACAGACAAACTATCTGAACTTATTTCTCTTTAAATCCAACTCACCATGACCTGCTTAGTTATCGTTTGATGTTCATAGTAATTAAGTTTATAAGTTGTAGTCGAGATAAACTCACTGCAACAGTCTAGTTCTTATACTCAATCAATAATTTATATGCATGAGATTAAGTTTTGCATCTTGTTTAAATAACAATATTAAAGTTTTTCATGGGTTCCAAAAGAGGTTATGGACCTGTTGCTACATTACAAGCAGTCCACCTGAGTTTTGCAAAAATATTTATCATATTTTAGTGTTCTTTTATTAATATTTCAGGGGCTGTTTAAAAAGGTAATCTTGTTTTTTTATGCCTAAAATTATAACTATTTTAGAATATTCAACTACTTCATAAGAATAAAATCCAACATAATTTATTCCTGTTTGTTTTTGAATTACTTTCATTAATTTATGATAAATGTTACGTTGTGGATGCTTATCTTAAGATTAAGAAGACCAGACCACAAATATTGCACCCTTCCGGTAATGATGAACTTAGTTTGCATCATAAAATAAAATAGAAGAAAAAAAACTGAAAAAGACAATAAAAAGGAGAGAGATAATGATATGGCTTGGAGTCATATCATATAAAATACATAGAATTATCTTATAAAATAAAAAAGACCATTCCTATTACATCTATACTATTAAGAGAGAATGAGGGGCATCATTTTGAAAAGCCATTTGAGCTATTTTTCTAAAATACGGCTTATCTTTTTATTTTTACGTTTATAAAAAAAAGTTAAAATCGCCAAGCAATCTTTGAAATCGACCCAAGCTGATCCGATATCCGACCCGTATAAAAAACGCGTGGATCCTTAAACAAACTCTAGTCGGGTCAAAATTTGCCCCGAACTAAATTTACCCATTATATTTAAGCCTTTCCACATTTGAAGTAAATCCCCCGTAATATTTAAGCCTCTCCACATTAGTTAAAAACAATCTTCGAATTTGTCTAAGTTATAATCCGTAATGCCTACCACAAGAAGGAAAATGACAACAACGCTAAAATAATCTATATACTCGGTTAACATATACTAAAAGTAACACCAACACAATTTTACAATATAATTAATTAAATAACAAATAAAAATTATATTCCAATTTCGCCTCCGGGCGTCAGCACGGGTATCAACCTAGTAAGACAATAAAAGGGAAAATGATAATGACATGTCGACGGGAGGATTTTCATTTTTCTATCTGTCCAAGAAAAACAGCACAAACTATCAAAGTACACTATAATATAAAGCTTACCAAATCAAACTTATAGATATATAGAAAACAGATGAATAATAGAAGACTAAATTTAACTTATATAGTTCTATTGGTGGAGATGGATCCTAATCAGAAATGTCTAACATGCATAACCAATAACCATAAGGCACGTCCAGTGTTGTACTAATCGTCTGAGCAAAGTCGAAATAAATTTGATGGTCTTATGGTAAGACTTTTTTCAAGTGGAAATATAAAATCTTATAAGTGTCACGTTATAATTTTATAAAAACGATGGTTGTAAATGTTTATTCGTAGAGATTTTAAAAAGTTTCGATTTAGTGTGAAATTTTATTATACTCTCAACAAAATATCTTGTACATGACAAATATCTTGCCCTTGTACATGATAAATATCTTCCAAATGATTAAATTGATAATTTTTTTATGTGTTGACACATTGCCAAATATCACTAAAACTAAAATATCATGTACAAGGGCAAGATATTTGTACATGACGTTTCCATGTGTAGACACATTGCCAACTTTTTAGTTTTAGTCCTCATAAGAAGGATTACTAATATAACGAATTAAGACTTTCTGGTGTCCTTAAGTTTTTGTTTGGTTGAGAACTGAGAAGTAGTCCCGAATCAAGAATGAAGACTCGTAACAAGCTTCTGCTACTCGCTTGTGCCACTTTCTCCATTATGTCTCTTGTTAAGTCTCAAAATCAACAAGGTATTTTTACTGTCTTACACTTTTTCCTTTTCTCTAATATTTTTGATATATGAATTATCTCAAACAAAAGAAATCTTGTTCCGATTCTTACCTATTGTTTGACCAGGATTCATCAGTTTGCATTGCGGATTACCATCTAACGAATCTTATATCGAACCATCGACCAATTTAACATACATATCAGATGTCAATTTCATCCGAGGAGGAAAAACTGGTAATATCCAAAATAACTCACGGACAAACTTTATCTTTAAGCCACTCAAGATTTTGAGATACTTCCCGGATGGAATTAGAAACTGCTACAGTTTGAGTGTGAAGCAAGGCACAAAGTATCTAATCAGGACAGTTTTTTCCTATGGAAACTATGACGGTCTTAATATTTCTCCAAGATTTGACCTCTTTCTCGGTCCAAATATTTGGACAAGCGTAGATGTGCTAAAAGCGGGTGTAGGTGATGGAGTTGTCGAGGAGATCATTCACGTCGCAATGTCTAACATCTTGGACATATGTCTCGTAAAAACAGGGACGAGTACACCAATGATATCAGCCATAGAATTAAGACCTTTGCGATATGATACTTATACTGCTCGAACCGGTTCATTAAAGCTTATTGCGCACCTTTACTTCACCAATTCAGACGAGGCAATACGGTATGTCAACAACATAACAGAATTAAGACTAGTTTTCTTTTAGAACCATGTGTTTTTTTTTTTGTCTCATTGACATAAAATTGATACTTGAGTGTCGCAGTTATCCCGAAGATGTCTATGATCGTGTTTGGATTCCATATTCACAACCAGAATGGACTCAAATAAATACAACGCGGAATGTAAGTGGCTTTTCTGATGGCTACAACCCGCCACAAGGTGTAATTAAGACCGCCTCCATACCCACTAACGTCAGCGAGCCATTGACCTTTACCTGGAATTTGGAATCCTCTGATGACGAATCGTATGCTTACCTTTACTTTGCTGAGATCCAACAATTGAAGGTCAATGAAACTAGGGAATTCAAAATTTTGGCGAATGGTGTTGATTACATTCCTTATATTCCATTGAAGTTTGAAGCAAAAACCTTATCCAACCCTGCACCACTAAAATGCGAGGGAGGGGTATGTCGTGTGCAGCTGTTAAAAACACCGAAGTCGAATCTACCACCCCTAATGAATGCTATAGAGATTTTTAGCGTCATACAATTTCCACAATCAGAGACAAATACAGATGATGGTATGTAGCCGTTCTTTTATGCATATTTAAAACATATAAAATGCTTTGGTCCTCGGCTTGAGAGGATGTACGGTTTAGGCATAGAACCTCTTAGTTATTCAAAATAAGGCATATTTTATCCTTGATTCTTTTGTATCTTTTGCAAGTCATTGCTATCAAGAACATTCAATCTACTTATCAATTGAGTAGAATCAGCTGGCAAGGCGATCCATGTGTCCCTAAACAGTTTTCATGGATTGGTGTTAGCTGCAACGTTATAGATATCTCCACACCATCAAGAATCATCGCATTGTAAGAAAATTCATATTATACATTGTTATCAAATTATATGACAAATGTATCTTTATATGTCTCTGGTCATGCAAACAGAGATTTGTCTTCAAGTGGATTAACTGGAGTTATACCGCCTAGCTTACAGAATCTAACGCTGCTTCGAGAATTGTACGTATAACAACTGGAGAAGTGCATGAATTTCTTTTGATTGAATTAACATTTATCTCTCGAAAAATTATAGGGACTTATCGAATAACAACTTGACTGGAGAAGTGCCTGAATTTCTAGCCAATATCAAATCGTTGTTGGTCATGTAAGTTATCTAAATATTATTGTGTTGTCTTCATTAGTTTCTAATAACTGCTCCACATCTACAGACACTTAAGAGGAAACAATCTTAGAGGTTCTGTTCCTCAAGCATTTCAGGATAGAGAAAGAAATGATGGTTTAAAGCTATTGTAAGAGTCTGTTTTGCGATGATCTTATTATTTTGATTATTATCCACTCTTGTTTTATAATTAATTTCATCAATAACGTTTTCATTTTTTAGTGTTGATCCAAATATAAAGCGGCATGGGCAACACCAACCAAAATCTCGGTTGGTGGCGATTGTTGCATCTATATCTTGTGTGACCGTTACTATAATCGTGTTGGTTCTCGTCTTCATTTTCAGAAGGCGAAAGTCATCAACACGCAAAGGTATGTTAGACTAAATATATGATCCATATCGAAGTATGAAATCTCATGGATCTACAAAAATATATTTTGCAGTTATACGTCCATCATTGGAAATGAAAAATAGAAGATTTAAGTATTCAGAGGTCAAAGAAATGACTAATAACTTTCAAGTTGTTCTCGGTAAAGGAGGCTTTGGTGTTGTTTATCATGGTTTTCTCAATAATGAACAAGTAGCCGTCAAAGTTCTCTCTCAATCATCAACTCAAGGCTACAAGGAATTCAAAACAGAAGTACTTAACTACACTACAATCCTCCACTTTTTTTTTTTTGGACAATAATGATCTCATGAATTAATTAAACCATATTGTTAGGTCGAACTACTTCTAAGAGTTCACCATGTGAATTTAGTAAGCCTCGTCGGATACTGTGATGAAGGAAATGACTTGGCTCTCATCTACGAGTTCATGGAAAATGGAAACTTAAAGGAACATCTCTCGGGTAAATCATTAGAGTATGATACAAAGATTTTGAAGTTACATGCCAAAGGCTATTAAAATTTCTAATGATTTATATCCATATTGTGAATTTTGGCAGGAAAACGTGGTGGCTCTGTCTTGAATTGGTCGACTAGACTTAAAATAGCTATTGAGTCTACACTAGGTTTGTAGAATTTTTTTTAGTTCCTATCATTATGTTACTTTTTCTCAAGTCGATATATCCTTCTTCCTTTTACACTTCATATTTATGATAAATAGTTGACATATGAAGGTTTTTCTATGTACTAGGAATTGAGTACTTGCATATTGGATGTAATCCCCCAATGGTTCATAGAGATGTGAAAAGTACTAATATACTGTTAGGTCTACGGTTTGAAGCCAAACTCGCCGATTTCGGACTTTCAAGATCTTTTCTAGTGGGAAGTCAAACTCATGTAACAACAAATATTGCTGGAACTCTTGGATACCTTGATCCCGAGTAAGTTCTAGTTCATATCACATTATAGTATTCATGATATGCTTTCTTGTGTGTTTAGTAAACAAAAAGCGAACATCTTCAATTACTTTTCTTGCAGGTATTATCAAAAGAATTGGTTAACAGAGAAGAGTGATGTTTATAGCTTTGGGATTTTGTTACTTGAAATTATCACTGGCCAACCTGTGATTGAACAATCGCGTGATAAGTCTTACATAGTTGAATGGGCCAAGTCTATGCTTGCAAATGGTGATATTCAAAGTATTACGGATCCAAATCTCCATCAAGATTACGACACAAGTTCATCTTGGAAAGCTCTTGAATTAGCGATGTTGTGCATCAACCCTTCTTCCACACCGAGACCAAACATGACTCGGGTAGCTCATGAGCTAAATGAGTGTTTGGAAATATATAACCTAAGTAAAGGAAGGAGCCAGGATGAAAATTCAAGTAAGTCCACGGGACATAGCGTAACTTCCATCAGTGATATTCCTTCAGCTCGTTAATCTTTTCATATGTATATTTGTGTTTGAAAGTTACGTATATGTTGTATTAAAGTCCGGAATTTTGTAAAAACTTCTCTTGCTACGCAATTTACTTGAATTACATTCAGAAATATATGATAAATGCTTTGGGGATGCTATGTCCGTCCAGGTTACATTTTGTATATCCATTGAGTATATTTACGTATATGGTTATTAGGAAATTAAGAAGACCAGGTCACATTTTGAACGGTTCCAACAATAATTATGGATTAGGTGGACCATACTTTTTTTATCGGAGATCCATCGCCATTGTCCCACCGACTTTCGACGAATCTTTGCGAAGTCTCTATCTGCTTTGTAAGTCATGCCATCATCTGGATTGTATAGAAGGCAACTATCGTCGCCGTCTAGAAATAGCACTAGTCATGGAGATCCTATTTTTTGGGGAACTGTTTGTTTCGAACTCGAATACCAGTTGGAACACACGATCTTAGGGCGGTGGAAACCTGCAAGCCTCAATCGTTCGAAAATAGATCTCAGAAAATCTGGAGGGAGCTCCTACCAGAAAATCTGGACGTTATCGCTTGTGTAATTCTTGGTCTTTAATAACAGTATTTAACATTAATAAATATGTTTTGGATGCTTGTATAAAAGGAAAGACAAAAAAAAGCAATAGACTGAGTGTAACTATGGAAAAATACTGAAGTTAATTATTTTAAAACTAATATAAGTGAATGAGATATCTTTTAATTCTCTTTGTGAAATCTACAAATGCTAATGTTTTGTGGAACTTAGACGGAAAACGATCTTCTTATATAAAACTTGGTTTCCCGAAGCGTAATTAGTTATTAACATGATCACGACACATGTCAAATCTATCGATAAGAGATTTCACCATGTCATTTCTGTCCCTTTTGTGAAAATTTCTTTATATATATATATATATAATAGGTATATGGTTTGATAAGAATATTACTTTTGTTTCTTGTTTACTAAAGCTGAAAGGAAAGATATTATTACATATTACTACAGTGTAATCCGAGGTTTTAACCACTCGACTAATCCTCCAATGCGATTCTAGTCATCGAGAAGTCCTCTCACTGAGTTTTATAATGGACGTAAAGTATGAAAACATTTTGACGACTAGCCAAATGGGAGTGATTTAGATAATTTTTTGTTCGAGAGGAATCAGTCCCCAACCGATACCGATGTGGCTAACTCCTTTTCAATTGGCAACCATTAGACCACTACCACTTGGTTAAAAAAAAATCAATAAGAATATTAGAAAATTAATTACTAATGGGGTACTAATAAATATGGGAAACTAGGAAGTTGATAAATATTACAAAAACAAAGTGAATAAGATACTTTTCTAAATTCTTTTGTCCAGCAAGTATTGCCTAAAGCCAGCATTGTCGTCTTTTATAAACAGAACAAAAAGCACCAAAAAGGAATAGGAACAACAACAAAAAGAGCTAACAGACATAGAAAATAAAGTTTAGACATTCAAATGCAAGGGAGAAACCATCGAGCATCTTTGAGCTTCATGTTGGAGAGACTAGGAAAGCGTTTGAGGGTCTTGGTTTCGAGATTGAACACACAAATGTCGAGTTTTAAATTCTGCCGGTGAAAAACACGTTCATCACGGGTAAAATAGATGGAGTTTGGTTCGATACCGGGCACAATGATACCCAAGTCAAGAAGCATAGCCTCTTCATCACCTAGAGAATGTACCTCAACAAGTTTGCAGTGTTCATCTGGATCTGCTTTAGGATTCTTCTTGAAGAGGCTGAAGCTCTTGCGGCTTTCAATATTTGTCTCGCAAAGGTTGTTCTGAACCACCAAAACATCTCCTGATGTTGTAACCACAATGCTACAAATTCTATGACAACCCCATGGAGGAAACATTTTGAATGAAAAATTTCGAGGAACATAATCGAAACCTTTTTGGTTAGACAAATCGAGGATTTGAATGTAATACATACGAGTCATAGCGATGTAAAGAAAGTAACCATGGAGTACAATATCATATACTCTTTGAAATGGATCGGGGAGAAGGAACCGTAGTTCAATGTGACTGTAATGATCATCACCTTTCTTGCAATAGGCTATAAAGTTGCAAGAGTCTTCGATGAACCAAACTGCAACAAACTCTTTCGTTTTCTCGTCTACCCACAAAAGACCAGTTAAATCTTCTGGTGTTGGGTAACTTAGAATTAAACCTTGATGGCGATTAGTTACTTGCCATTTGAATTTCTTATCTCCTAGTCGCTCTAGAGGCGGAAGATCGATCATATTCTCACTAAACACATCTATGATATAGAGATTGGATTTAGAATCTATCACTAGGAACCAATTAGCGTAGTTTGCAAGAAATCGAATTCCAGAGAAGTCTCTCTCCGTTTTATAAATCATGTCTTCTTCTGGATTGTACAGCACGCAACCATCTTCTCCTTCAGGAAACAGAATTAGCCATGGAGATCTGATTTTCTTGGGAACTGTTTGTTTCGAAATCGAATTCCAGGTTGAACACACAATCTTAGCGCGATGGAAATCCGCAAAGCTCAATCGTTCAAAAATACTTCTCAGCAATTCATGAGGGAGTGCCGAAAAGGTGAGAAGATTAGGAGTTTCCATAGGGTTCTGATGTTATACGTATGTGGTCTTTAATAATAGGGTTTTGATGTTAGTATAAATAGGGTTTGGATGCTTGTGTGAAAAGGATGAATAAAAAAGCAACAGATTGAATGTATATAATATGGAAAACTAAGTTCATAATGATTTCAAAACCAACTGAATAAGATTTATTTTTATTAAAAAAATATTCATTTTTATCCTTTTTGTAAATGCTAATCTAGTGTTAATCAATATAATCTAAATGCTAATGTTCTTATATTTGAGATATCTTCATTAATAAAAGAGTTTTAAATCAAGTGTTATTAATTTTTATATTTTCTACAATGTCTATATTAAAAGAACTAGATTTTAACCCGCGGTACACCGCGGGATGATTTATTTTTAAAGTTAGTATAAGAATATTTTGTAAATTGTATCTCCTTATAAAATATTTATTTATATTACAGTTTACAATCGCCGTCCCGTGATTTATTTTTATTTTAAAATTTAATGATTATTTATTATATATAAAAGCTTACAAATCATATCATTCTCTAAGACATTTATATTTTAATAAACTGAAGATTTAATCTGTATTAAAGCGGCATGTTAATGATATTTTAAAATTTATTAATATTGATTCAAACTCGTCCACCATATAACTTAGTTCCGAAATATAACCCGTCATGTAACTTCTTAACCCGTCCCGTAATTTGTTTTCTAAAAGTAGTAATTTTTAAAATTTAACGATTATTTATTATATATAAAAATTTGGAAATTTTATAATTTTTTAAGATATTTATATTTTATAGTTTACAATTGTTATTAAGTAACATTATACCACGGGACAATTTTTGGTTTTATACAATCTTTTCTAAATGAGACTGATTTAATATGTCTAATATTGGTGTTATTAAAAAAAAATTAGGATTTAATCCGTATTGAAGTGGCGGATTAATGATATTTTAATCTTTTTATTATTGTTGATTCAAAAACCCGTTCCGCCAAAAAACTCATTTATTTCATTATTGTTGATCTTATTTATGATATGATTCTGAATCATTGTCTAAATATTTTAATCGATGTAGAACGTTGAACACACATTTTCGTCAATTGGATAATATATGTCCGTTTTTAAAATTTCGAATCACAGTATATGCAGAAAAAAAAAATTGATTTTTTTTTTTACTTATGTATTATATGATGATTCAAAACAGTTAAAAACAAATCAAACAAAGATGATAGGAGAATCATAATTCTAAATCTTAATCAAATCTTCTAAATATCTAAATTATTAAATATAGAATATCCGGTGTATGAGTTGGGTTTTATTTAACCCGATCCAAGTATTTTTTGTGAAGGAATTTAAAAAACGGGTCGGATATCCGATTAACCCAGAAACATTTTTACCCACCCGTCACCAAAGTGTTGCAAAAATACTAGTATAGATGATCAATTAAAATCTTGTGTTATTCATATTTGATAGATTCTCACAGATTCTTTTTACCTAAAAGAGTTTGAATGCATTTGAAACTGATTTCATGTGTAAATTCTAGCGTCAAATTGTAACATTTTACTCTCATATTTTCATAATCATTATCCCTTTTTTGGCATCTTGTTATTAACCAAAACATAGAGAAATGTGGGTTCGATAGACAGAGACAAAACCCAAATAATCGAAACTTGGAAACAGCAATCAACAATTGTTGAAATCATGAATCCTAGATTAAATCCTGCAAGAAGAAAGCTTCAACTAAGAAGAAGATGAAGAACAAGAGAAGAAGCTCCAAGTGTAGGAGAAGAAAAGGAAGAAGAAGAAGAAGAAGTCGTGAAACAAGGGTCAGCGACAAATAAGAGAAGAAGTTGGCTTTGGGCTGAGAAGTGTAAATGGGCTGCAAATGATTTAATTAAGACCCAAATGAAGAAGTGTTTTGTGTAGTAATATTATAACTGAAGTGTTAGAGTAGTTCGAGACTAAGAAGAGTGAATCAAGGAATGAGAGTTCTAATAGCCATCCCGATCGATTTACTTAGGCTTTCGTCTGGCAACGTCCGGCTAGCACAAGCGGCGTTAGCCGGCTCTCGTCTACTTCCCCCAATCGTAGATTTATATGTAAATAGTGTTTGGTTTTATCTCTTTTAATAAATCTCATATATGAGGTGTTCGTGATGGCGAGTTTAGCGATTTCTCGTTATAGATGCTTAATTTCTAACTCGTATCTTTCAGGTTTCAAAATTTATTGAAATCAATCAAGTGATTGCAAATTAAAAGAAAGAAAAAGAGGTTTTTGTTGCTTATTTATAGTGCCTTAAGTTGTTCATTTTCTAATCAAAGATTCAATTCGTTTATGATAGTGAAAAACCCAAGAATCTAGATTTGATTGCTTTATCGGAAAATAGATTATTCCACCGGAATGGATGCTTGAAGTTGAACGAAAGAGTATTGTTTTGGTTGAATCCAGTTTCATTGTTATGAATGGGCTTTGTTTAAGGCTTTGTATGGTTACTATTTTAATATAGTATCTCTCTTGTGATTTAAATAGTGTTTTAATGACTTTAACTATTACCTATAATGTATTGTTATTCAATCAAAATTTATTAAACTCTGTTAAAGGTTGGTGTTAGTAGTTTTTAATTTGTAAAAAATCTTCTAAAATCTTCATAAATGTGGGGTTATTGGATTCATAGTTTTATAAAATCAATAAAAGTTTTGTCTTATTGAATTGAAACAAAAGAATCTCTTATTGTTAATGAATTAAATTATTACGTTATTGGTTTATGATTTTTTATACATTTTTTCACAAAATAAAATCATGAGAAGTATCATCAAAATAGAGAGATAGTTTGGGAAACTTTAGGAGATTATAGGAGATTAGAATCTTTCTATGATTTTGTTAAAATCATCAAAATTCTTTTAAAATTAGAATCCAATAAAATCTCCTGAAGTTACTTAGAAAAATACTTCTAAACACTAATTTTTCTTCTTCATCAATCAACACCAATGGAAACTTCAAATCCTCGTCAGACCTTCCTCCTGATTTGGTCATATCTATTTTCAATCGATTAAGCTTCACCGATTTCCACCGCGCGAAGATCGTGTCTTCGAATTGGTATTCGAGTTTGAAACTAACAATTAATTACCCGCAAAATCACATTTCCATGGCTAATGCTATTCCTAGAAGAAGAAGACGGTTCTGTGTTGCTCTTCAATCCAGAAGAAGACAGAATTTACAAGTCAAAAAGAGATTTCTCAAGGATTCGATTTCTTTCAAGTTCCAGTAATTTGTTCCTTGTGATTGATTCTAACTTCAATAACTCTATAATAGACGTGTTTAGCGCGAGTAGGATTGATCTTCTGCCTCTAGAATCGATCCAGCCTAATGAGAATTGTACTCTCAAACGACTAGGAGATGAGAAATACGAAATGGCAATTTGTGGACGTGAGTCTGAGTATACAAATTAAAACGATCTTCCTTTATAAAACTTGGTTTCCCGAGGCATAATTAGTTATTAACATGATCCCGATACGTATCAAATCTATCGATAAGAGATTTCACCATGTATAATAGGTATATGGTTTGATAAAAAAAGTTTGCTAAGAAAATTACTTTTGTTTATTGTTTACTAAACCTGAAAGAAAAAAAAATATTAATACTACAGTGTAAACCGGGGTTTTAACCACTTGACTAATCCTCCAATGTGACTGTAGTCATTGAGTAGTCCTCTCACCGAATTTTCTAATGGACGTAAAGTATGACAACATTTTGACGACTGGCAAAATCCGAGTGATTAAGATCATTTCTTGTTCTAGAGGAATCAGTCCCCTACCGATATTGAGGTGGCTAACTCCTTCTCAATTGAGAACCACTAGACCACTACCACATGGTTGATTAAAATTTCTATAAGAATATTAGAAAATTAATTACTAATATATATATATATATAATAGCGATCTCAATAATTGTCATTTGTACCTCGGAACGGTTGCATCTTTTTATCGCAATCTTTCGTTTAAATATTTACAGTTATTTTTCCGGTTGTGACTTTTTAATCGCATCTTTTCGTTGAAATATTTACGCTTATTTTTTTACGCTTGTGTCTTTTTATCGCATCTCTTTGTTAATATATTTACGGTTTTTTACAGTTATATTTGCTCAATTACAGTCGTATCTTTTCAGTTTACGGCTGTATCTTCATGGTTGCATCTATTCATTTAAAGTTACGTCTCATATTATATATGTATATTTAAATTTTAGTTTTTTTAACTAAAATATATATTTTACGATTGTTTTTTCAAGAAGTTATAATCTGAATAAATATTTTCTACGGTTGCATCTTTTTATCGTAACACCTCATAAGAAGTTGCGATTGTTTAGTGGAACCATTGCAACATTTACTTTATTTAACGAACAATTGTAATTTTTGATTTATTCTATAAATCGTTAAAACATTTATTTTTAAGAAAACTAAAAATATATATTTTACGGTTGAATTTATTAGAAGTTAGAAAAAGATCACCTTCCAAAAGAGAAATTAGAATCAGAACTTACTTCTCATAAGATCATCTTCCAAAGTGATCTCAGAAAGTACCTTTGAGCGGTTTCTCGACAACGCCGACGGTGGAGAAGTGACCAGAGACGGTGTCGACCGTGTGAGGTCTTCGTTTGGGTCTCCAGGTTTGAATCGAAAATGAAAATTATGGTAAATGATGATTGATAAAGGAGAGAGTAGAGAAGTAGGGCTCTAGAATCGAGTAAGGGAAGAAGCTAAATCGACAAAAGGTTAATCAGGTTTGAGGCTAAACCTAAGGGCATTTTAGCGGATCGGGTTTTCGGTTTACACCATCGGGTATCGTGTAAAACCTGAACCCGAACCGATACCCACGGGTAAAACAATATAGAACCCATCGATGTAAAACTCCCATACCCGTACCCATCCAGAACCTGTTTTTTTGGGCCAATTTCGGTTTGGGTACTCGGGTACGGGTTTTTTGCCCATGCCTAATATGTATATAAATAGAATAGGTATATGGTTTGATAAAAAAAAGTTTGCTAAGAAAATTACTTTTGTTTATTGTTTTACAAAACCTGAAAGGAAAAAAAATTATTAGTAGTACAGTGTAATTCGGGTTTTTTGACAACTCGACTAATCTCCTGTGTGACTCTAGTCATCGAGTAGTCCGCTCAACGAGTTTTCTAATGGACGTAAAGTATAACAACCCTTTGACTGGCCAAATGGGAGTAATTTAGATAATTTCTTGTTTGAGAGGAATCAGTCCCCGACCTATACCGACGTGGCAAATCCTTCTCAATTGGGAACCACTAGACCACTATCACTTGGTTGATAAAAAATATCTATAAGAATATTAGATAATTAATTACTAATGGAGTAATAAATATGAGAAACTAAGAATTTGTTAAATTTGGGCTAATTCTGGGCTTCCAACTAAAAACCAATTGGCAATTAGTGGATTGGCCCTAACCCTTTATATATTATTGATTGTCCCATCAAACTTCCGATGTGGGACTTGGATTGTATCTCCAACAATCTCCCCTTCAATCCAAGGACCACATGGATCTTAACACACCTCCTCGATCCCTCACTCGGACCGATAATAAGCCCCTTTCTCGGGCCCCCATTACTCGGGTTTGAGGTATGTCCGTATCCACTTTTCTAGGTCCACCAGAATTTGAACCTTGGGCTCTGATACCATGTTAAATTTGGGCTAATTCTGGGCTTCCAACTAAAAACCAATTGACAATTAGTGGATTGGCCCTAACCCTTTATATATTATTGATTGTCCCATCAAACTTCCGATGTGGGACTTGGATTGTATCTCCAACAGAATTAATAAATATTTGAAAAACAAAGCGAATAAGATTCTTTTCTAAATTCTTTAGTCCAGCAAGTATCGCCTAAAGCCAGCATTCTCATAGTTATAATCAGAACCAAAAGCACCAAAAGGATTAGGAACAACAACAAAAAGAGCTAATAGACATAGAAAATAAAGGAAAAGTTAAGAATTTCAAATGCAAGGGAGAAACCATCGAGCATCTTTGAGCTTCATGTCGGAGAGACTAGGGAAGCGTTTGAGGGTCTTGGTTTCGAGATTGAACACACAGATGTCCAGGTTCGAATCTCTCAAATCCCACTGGTGAAAGACACGGTCATAACGAGTAAAATAAATGGAGTTTGGTTCGATACCAGGCACAGTGATGCCCAAGTCAAGAAGCAGAGCCTCTTCATCACCTAGAGAATCTACCTCAACAAGCGAGTTGTAGTGTTTATTTGGGTGTGGAATAGGATCCTTCTTGAAGAGGCGGAAGCTCTTGCGGCTTTCAATATTTGTCTCGTAAAGATTGTTTATAACCACCAAAACCTCTCCTGATGTTGTAACCACAATTCTTAAAATTATTTGATAACCCCATGGTCCAGATCGTGATAACATGTTGAATGAATCATTTTGAGTAACATCCTCGAAACCTTGTTGTTTAGACAAATCGAGGATTTGAATGTAATCAGTAGAACGAGCGATGTAAAGAAAGTAACCACGGAGTACAATATCAGATACGCTTACAAACACATCGGGGAGGACAGATTGTAGTTGAATGTGACGGTAATGATCATCGCCTTTCTTGTGAAAGGCTAAAAAGTTGCAAGAGTATTCGAAGAACCAAACTGCAACAAACTCTTCCGTTTTCTCATCTACCCACAAAAGACCTCTTAACTCTTCAGCTTTTGGATATCTAACAATTAGAGCGTCAGGGAGATTAGTTACTTGCCATCTGAATTTCTTATCTCCTTTTCGCTCGAAAGTAAAATTATCTGACATGAGAGATTCTAGAGGCGGAAGATCGATCCTATTCTCGCTAAACACATCTATGAGATAGAGATTGGATTTAGAATCCATTACAAGAAACCAATTACCCGAGTTTGCAAGGAATATAGTCCCTGAGAAGTCTCTCACTGATTTGTAAATTCTGTCTTCGTCTGGATTGTACAACACGCAACCATTAACTCCATCATCTGGAAATAGTATTAGCCATGGAGATCTGATTTCCTTGGGAACTGTTTGTTTCGAAATCGAATTCCAGGTTGAACACACAATCTTAGCGCGATGGAAATCCGCAAAGCTCAATCGTTCAAAAATACTTCTCAGCAAATCATGAGGGAGTGCCGACAAGGTGAGAGGATTAGGAGTTTCCATAGGGTTCTGAAGTTTACGTAATATTTGGTCTTTTAGTAATAGGGTTTTGAAGTTAGTATAAATAGGGTTTGGTTGCTTGTGTAAAAAGGAGGAATAAAAAAGCAACAGATTAAATCTATATAATATAGAAAACTAGAAAGTTAATAATTATTTCCAAAATCTAGAATCTTATTTTCTGAAATTACTTTTGTAAACTCTTCTCCTCCTAATTGGACAACCAATCAAGGAGTTATTTTTTAATAAATGTGTGGTTGATAAAAAAAAAAAAATTATTTCAAAACCAACTGAAGAAGATTTATTTATATAAATAAAAGATTCATTTTATCCTTTTTGTAAATGCTAATCTAGTGTTAATCAATATAATCTAAATGCTAATCCCCTATATATTAATAGAGAAACATTTTAAAACAAAAACCTTACCATCATGTGTTATTAACAAGATTGTCACGCTGATGTGTCGCTCTCACAATGATTTGGCTTCTATTTAGATAATTACCCAAGATTTATTAGACTATTTACAGAATTTGCCATTAGTCTCATACATCCATATATCCCATTAATAATTAAAAACATACACTTTTTGTTTATCTTATATTACTATATTTTTATATTTATATTTTTCTTTATATACATTTATATAAATTTTCTTTAGCGGATGGATAAACATTCTTTTTATTTATATTTATGTTTATATTTAAATGATAAAATATATACATTTGGTTCAAGAATATCGAATTCAAAACTACAAAATCTTTACATCTTTCATAAATTTTTTACTTAAATAAATAAGATAATCTTCTTTCTATAACCACATTTGTATATAAACCAAAATCTGGCCACATTATAACCATTTTGTAAATAATCCATTCATAATCTAAAAATCTTAGATTTGGAACACTACAAAATCTTAGCTTGGAAACTATCAAATCTCATCTTTGCTAAATTTTGGATTTCTTATACTTATTAAAAAAAAAAATTTATACTACAAAATCTCGAAATCTTTTAAACATACGGAAAGACATATTGCCATAAATGGTAACATTTCGTCAATACTTTTTTCTCACGTTGAAGCTTTATTCAAAGTTCAAATATTTCACGGGTAAAACATATTCTTATATGAAATAGTCCCAAATTTGAATAAAACAAAAAAAAATTGTAACATGTTTCGTTTTACACAAACGGATCTTGGATCCCGGATAATAATTTTAATCATAATAATTTTACTTGAATCACTTCATCCCGCACATCGTGCGGGTTGTTATCTAGTGTTCTTATATTTGAGATATCTTCATTAATAAAAGAGTTTTAAATCAAGTGTTATTAATTTTTATATTGGGAAAATCACATTTTTAACCGTCAAAGTGTAACTGTGTAGCACTTTAAACCTCGAAAGAATTCTACTAACACTATAAACCACCAAGATTGTTTTACTAACACTTTAAACCTCTAAACTAGCTTTTCTATTTGCAAAGCCATAAAAGATGATGGAACAATCAATTTATGTTTGTTTAATATATTTATTTAATTTAAATTAAATTTTTATTAATTTTATTATTTATTACGATTTTAATGATAAAAAAAGTAAAAAAAAAAATCATCATCTTCGACTATTCACCGTCCGACCACAAATTTTCAGATTTTTAATCAGTTTATTGTATGTGTTCACCATCTTTTTATTTAATTGGTATTATGAGATTCCAATTTACCCACTAGAGAGAGTGAAAATGCTCATGAATCAGTCTTAAGATTGTTTCAACAGTTTATCAAGAAATTTCTTGGTCGGACGGTTAGTTAACGAAAAAAATAAAGGTTTTTTTTTTGTTTTTTTAGATTTTATTAATTGTAAAAAATAATAAAATTAATTTAAATTTAAATTAAATAAATTTATATTAAACAAACATAAATTATATGTTCCGTCATTTTTTATGCCGGTACAAACAGAAAAACGAGTTTAGAAGTTTAAAGTGTTAGTAACTTATCTTGATGGTTTATAGTATTAGTAGAATTCTTCCGAGGTTTAAAGTGCTACCCAGTTACACTTTAAAGGTTAAAAATGTGATTTTCCTTTTTTTATATTGGGAATCTTTTCAATGGTGCCATGAAAACCACTTTTAGTTTTTTAATTTGCCATTTCGAAAAACTCATATCCTAAAGTAGTCATATTTGGTTTTTGTGGCAGGTGTAAAAGTCAATATTGCCCTCCGAAATTGTTAGCGTAAAAAGATGATGAATGACGTCCCTGACATGTTTTGGTTGGAATAGGGCTGTCGTAAATGCCTAAAAGTAGATAGTACCATGCATTAATTGTCGACGTATATTGACCAAAAAGTTTTACATTTTTTTTTTCAACTGATTTTGTATTAATAGATCAAGAGTTACATATGACCGGAGTTAAGTCACCAAAAGAATCAGACTCAAAAGCCATGAGACAAAAAAGTTTAACATATATATTGACAAAAAAGTTTCATGGACATCAATGGCGGCATATTTAATCATAAAGTTGTCTACAATCTCTTATGTGATACAATGAAAATATAACCTCTGTAGTTATATAAACTTGAGAGGAAAAGGGTCCCAATTGCCGGTACATCCTAGAAGAGAAGCAATTCTGGGATAATAGTGTGAGGTGGACGAAGAAAGTCAATCAGGTGGACAAAATCAGAGAAAATGATGGACCAAAATGGCAAAATGAATTCGACCCTTGAACTAAAGCTATTGAGATTTAGGGCCACAACTGAAAAATTCATATATAAAAAAAGCTTTTACGAACACGAACCAGAGGGATTACAGGTTCGTCGTCTCGTTCTCTGTTGGTGTCATCGTCAACATGGTATTTTGACAGCTGCAAATGGTGGACAAAATTGACAATCACGTGAACGTAAAAAATGGACCAAAATTTTGATTTTTCAGCCTTAGAATATTTAAGGCTGCAATAAGGAGCTACGAAGACGAACCTGCGGGATTATAGGGCCGCTGTTCTGTTCTCTCTGGCTGCCAACATCCATTTTAAAAACCTGCAAACGGTGGACAACCTGATGGACTAAATAGAAAACAAAATGGACAATAATATTGTTAAAGAACACTAAAATCATAATCAATGGGTGGTTGGTTAAACTTGATGAAAATAAAGATCAACTTACGGTTTCTTTCCAACGTCGATTTGTCTCCTTCAATCTTCCAAGCCGACGGAGAAGAAGAACTCTACTCGACATCGTTTGAGTTTCCTTTAAAAACAGATTTGTGTTTATTTTAATTTTTTTAATTGCAAAAGAAATAAATTGTTTTTTACTTTAATTAGAATTTCAGTTTTTGTTTGAATTGACGTGTGAGTCGAATGAGTGTTGTCATGTCATTAGTTTGGGTGCAAGATAGGAAGGGTAATTATGTCATTTCGATTAACAAAAATGTTGTTGTGTAAAGATGTTTTTTAAATGGCATAGAGCAAAAGTAAAACTTAAAAAAGGGCATTCTCTTTAAAAATCTCTTTTATATTTACAATGTCTATAATAAAAGAATGATCAATTAAAATCTTGTGTTATTCGTATTTGATAGATTCTCATGCGCAGATTCTTTTTACCTAAAAGAGTTTGAATGCATTTGAAACTGATTTCATGTGTAAATTTTACCGTCAAACTGTAACATTTTACCCTCATATTTTCATAATCATTATCCATTTTTTGGCATCTTGTTATTAACCAAAACATAGAGAAATGTGGGTTCGATAAACAGAGACCAAACCCAAATAATCGAAACTCTAACACAGACCAGAGCAGAATATAGAGAATACTTTTTGATTCAAATGGAGTTGGATAGTTATTCTCTGTCTAGTTCTAAAAAGATCATCAATAAAGAGACTCGTATGTATAGTTCTTCAGAATCCTAAGCTCTAACACAGACCAGAGCAGAGTTCCTCTAACTCTATCAACAAGACACACATGAACATGGTCAGGATGTAGCGTATTGATGATCTTTTTCTATGGTGATATAATCCAGAAACTTAGTCCCAAGATACAGATCAATTAAAGCCGTAAAATAGTTTAAAGAAAATAAACAATCGTATATAACAGTTACTACATAGAAGGGTGCTCAAGGTTACTGCGAAAAGTTCACGAACAAAGATTAGGTTGTATACACAAAGGTGCTTCTCAAATATAGCTATCGCCTTAATCTACAAATTGTTTCCCCTACCATAACTGTTGATATCGCTCTGCATCTTTGACTAAAAGAACGTTACTGTCATGAGAGAATCTTTAGTGTCTGTCCCGTTTCCTCTTCTTTTCTGGTATCTTGTCGTTCTTACGATGTTTCTTCATATAGTCCTTTCTTATCCTCTGACCATGCTCGATATCTGAGCCTTGTGTCAAAGAAGATGGTCTCTCGGGGCCCAGGACTACTTTCCGCTCTCTTGTATCACAACTTGGAAACGGTCTATTCTCGGCGGGAAGATAAGGCCCTGTTTCATCCATCATAGGACCGATAGAGCCTCTTCCACGTTTCTTCCTATTATTTACAAGAGATTTAAAATAAGTATTAGGCTGCATATTTAGTAGTATTAACCGACAGTTCTTTCGATTGTGTTTACACTTTCTAATCAGAAAATCATTGATTATAAAGTGGTTTCATTTGGCAAAAACTCTGTACTATAAAATATGGAACCAAACAATAAATGAACGAGAATGAGGGTACCTAGCAAATATAAAGGTAATGGAAGCTGCTAGGTAGAGTGTGAAAGTACATACCGTGATTGGAGAAAAGTCTCAATATCATCATCTCCTAAGCCTTCATCATCTTCTGAATACCATCTCTTGTTGGATGACGCACACGTAACCTTTTTCTCATCACCCGAGCTGCATCGCTTATCCAAACTCCTTTTCATGAAACTACTACCATTCTGCTTCATTTGGCTACTACTGCTTTCCTCTAGTGCTTTTCCTTTGTGTCTTTCATCTTCTAGCTCAATCTCTTTCTTCCGAACCCTCCACATCTCATTGGTTTCTACCGCTTTGTTTGCTGTACCAGTAGTCAAGAAAGAGAACATGTTAGAGTCAAAGTAAACAATCAACCTCATATCAACATTCAATACTAGATAGTCACAAGATACAAACGAGAAATGACGCTATCAGATAGTTCTTTCTTTTCGAACAAACTAAATACTAGTGAACAAGTTAAGAAGGTATAAAAAAACCGTAAACCCCCACAAAAACTGTAACATGTTAGTATGTTACCAACCTTTTTATTGATGGATCAGAGATTAACCAACAAAGAAACTAATCCCTTCCAAAACCGCAGCTATTGCTGCTTCAAAGAAGAAAATTTCCAAAAGCTACAGTGATGCAGATTGGAAAGACATATCAAACAATCTATAATTTCCAATGTGATCACATAGAGTAGAATTTGAAGGAAAAAAAACATAACTTGAAACTAGATTACCGATGGAAATCGCTAAAACGAACACATATGTAATAGAAAGAATAGAGAAGGGCATACATTGCTGAACACCAAGAACAGTGGCTTTGAGAAATCTTGAATTAGGTCGATGCCTTATATTAGGCTTCTCAAGATATGCTCTAACACCTTCTTTCTCAGCTTTTCTTCTCAATTCTGCTGCTTCTCTTAATAGAATTGAAGCTATTCGATTCTCAGTTTCCAGATCCATCCACACAAGCTACTCCAAAACACACAAATCTCTGTAATCACGAGAATACACCGTTTCACGTTTAGTCTTAATCTGGGCATAACCAATTCAAGAACCCTAAAGCTTTCTATCACAAACTTGTGCAAAAGATTTGATCTTTCGATGCGAGACGAGAGCAAGAACCAACAATCTAAAAACAGAGGTTTCTCAAATAACCTAATTGCTCGCGAATTGTGGACTAAGAGGAATTCAATTACCAGTACAATTCGAGAAAACGTCCCAGGAGTCCCCTTTTGACAAATACAAATCCCATATCTCCCTCGAGAAAACAGAATTATATTTTTATTTAATTTTAAATCGAAATTGAATGTAATTACCTCTTTACCCCAGACAAAACAAGAAAACTACAAAACCCAACCAAGCTAATTGGGTTGAAAATACCCAAACCCTTTCTTATTGGGTCGAATCCAATTAAAACGGGTAAAAACACTTAGACTTGAATAATTCAGATCGGGTAAAAACCAAACACGAGGAAAACACTTAGGGTTCATTCCTTCGGAGAAAAATCTGCTTTCGACGGCGATCTTGGTATAACTACAGATCGATTTATTTCTATTTCTTCAGAGTCAATCTTGGTATAACTACAGACAACTACGTTATTGGGCAAGGTAAAATCGAGTTTTTATTTTGGGTTTTGCGATTGAAATCGAGTGAAAGTCTGCGAAAATCGATTGTTCGTTATGTTTGTATAAAATCCGAAGAGATGGAGAATGTTAGTGGTAATAGAATCGATTGAAATATTGAATGGAAGTACTAATCTAAATGATTTTGTTTGTAGGTTTGTGGAAGGGAGTTATGCCTCGAACAAAGAACGCAAATGTATCTTTAACGGAGACTCCGCCAGAAGCCAATCTTGAAGAAGTGCCACCGCCGGCAGTAGTGGAATCTGAAGCAACAGATTCAATCTCTAACGTGGTTGCAACGGTAAGAGCCAATCTTGAAGAAGTGCCACCGCCGGCGGTAGTGGAATCTGAAGCAACAGATTCAATCTCTAACGTGGTTGCAACGGTAAGATCTCTAAAATTTGGACAACTAGCAGAACTAGGTATAAGTTTGTTGCTTGTGTCTCTTAGAAATTTCTGAAACTAAAAGGTAAAACTGTGATAATTAGGTATAACTAACGTGCATTTATAACTTATAAATATCTGAAACTAAAAGGTAAAACTATCAATAACTAGGTATAACTATGCTGCTTTTGCTTTTATAACTTAGAAATATCTGAAACTAAAAGGTAAAACTATGAATAACTTGGTATAACTATTCTGTTTTTCTAACTTAGAAAGTTTTAAAACTAAAAGGCACAACTGTGTATAACTTGGTCCATATTGATTGCAGGATTCTAATGAGGAAACTGAAGCTCTACAACCTTTTAAAATGTACTTCAGTCCGAGTGAGTATACAAAGCCATTCAAGATTTCAGCAAAGTGCTATATTCATAAGGTAGTGGGCTTATTGGAGACTAATCTTAGAGGCAAGGAGTTGAAATGGTTTAAGGAACACCCACAGTTCCGACACTTCTTCCACATGCACAGGGACGCAAATCATAAGTTGATGGGTATGTGACTGTTATTTCTTCGCACAACATGTTTAGAGAAGAAGCGCGAAGTTTGGTTTATCGTCAACGGGGTTCCGATCCGCTATTCTCTCAAAGAATTTGCTCTCATGTCAGGATTATATTGTCACCAATATCCGAAGTCCTATGAAACCAAGGGCAGCATGATATCAAGATGTGGAGGAAAAGTTCCTATCAATAAAGAGATCTTCTGATGATCGTTTGAGAGTAGCTGTGTTGTACTTCTTAAGCAGCATCATCGTTGGAAAGACTAAGACAGGAGACAAGGCACCAACTGTGGAGAAGTTTGTTCCAAAGGGCTGTGGCTGATCTAGACTTGTGCGAAACATTCCCATGGGGGAGATATGCATTTGATCAAAATCTGAAAGACATTTTCTATATAATGGAAAAATGTGAAGGAGTTGTTGGTCCACAGAAAGTGTTTCCTAGTTTCGTTATGCCTCTGGAGGTATGCATTATTCATCTCTTAAATTTTTATAAACTCGGTATAAGTAAGAGTATATTAGCAGTTATACAACAAAGTTTTGAATGATCTTTTATTTTTTGCAGCTTCTAGCGTTTGAGTCAATTCCAGTTCTCAAGAACACTTTTTGCGTCGATGTGGGATCAGCAGATCCTAATTGTCCTCGGATGTGCAAGACAAAGTTTAAACCAAGTACTATGAAAGGTTTTCCTATGTCAGATGTGTATGACAAACTCGGTACAACTAAGGTTAGTTAAAATCTGAAATGCAAACTAGATAACATGTTTATTATTTATGTGTCATGGAGGTTGTATTAATTAGATTTTTTTATGATGCACAAGACATTCAGAGTATCTTGACTCCATCTCCTGCTGAGGAACAACTTTTGAAAAGTATTATGGATGTTGAGCGTGGATGGAATGATAAAGATGATGTAGTTGATGATGGTTGGCACAAGCGTCTAGTTGATGAGGGAAGGAGTATATTGGAGTCCACCACTGTTTTTGAAAACTCTTTAAGATGTTTTGTTTTGTCATGAACATGAATTTGGTTGTTGTTTTATTTTGGTATAACTCTGTCGGTTTTCAAAAACTAGGTACAATTGTGTGAACAAAATGGTTATTGTTTTATTTTGGTATAACTTTGTAAAACTAGGTACGACTGTGAACGATAATAAATTGGAAGATTTCTTCTATGGAAGATTTAGGGATTTGGTGGGTTTGGGGTTAAAGAAGATTTAGGGATTTGGTGGGTTTGGATAATAAATTGGAGATATTGAGATGTAATTGGGAGGAATTTAAGGATTTCGTGGGAGCTGGGGTAATAAATAAAGGGGTTGAAATGATTTTAGGGGAAAAATAAAAGAAATTGGGTTCATTCGAAAATTTTGGGTATTTTGGAGGGAAAAGAGAAAATTTTGGATATTTGGGGCAAATAACACGTGAACCACATGGCGCCGTCATTTGTACACGTGGCGCCGTCATTTGTATACATGGCGCCGTCAAATATACACAGTTTTTCCAAGTTTACAAGTTGTACTCGCTTACACACAGTTGGACTTTTGGGGTTTTTCTGTATAATTAGTTATTCTTGGATTAATATTAATTTTTATTAGTTGTACACATGATTTTATGTATATGTGGTAAATTCCAAACATATTCATTCAATAATATGTGTAAAATGTTGATTTTTCAGACTCTCGACATTCACCATGGATATTCAAAAGAAAGACATCTTAAAAGTATAAGAACTTTCATGTAGAAAGTTCAAATGTGTAAGATTTTTGAAAATTTTATTTACCAAATTTTGATTACAAACCACTAATTTGATTATGTAACACTAAGTTGTCTATTTCATTACAACAAGCATTGTGATATAACTTTTGAATTTATGAAGATTTGTTAATTTCTTCGTAGTTATACCAAGCCAAGTTTACGCAAGTTTTACAAAATCAAAGACATACATAGTTGTACCATTACGAAACCAAGTTTTACCAAGTTTTACAAAACCAGAGGATACATAAAAACACGAAATCAGAGACATACATAGTTGTACCATTACAAAACCAAGTTTTACCAAGTTTTACAAAACCAGAGAATACATAAAAACACGAAATCAGAGACATACATTGTTGTACCATTACGAAACCAAGTTAAACCAAGTTTTACAAAAACTGAGAATACATAAAAATACAAAATCAAATACTATGGTTGCCAAATAACAACCATTGCAGCGATTGCCTCGGCCTCCTTTTGTTTTGAGTCCTTTGACGTTTTGGACGCCTTTCCCCTGTGGATGGAAACCTCAACACTTTTGTTCTACCCTTCTTCTTTTTCCGAGGCAGAGGTAATACCTTCAATGCTTTGATGTCATCTGGGATATCCCACTGTGACTTATCCGGGACTAAATAAATAGTCCTATAATACGCCGGCCAATGCCCACATCTCCGCCCAATAATACTTTGAAACCAATTCATGTATTTCCATACTTCGAGTTCTTGTTGTATCGTTCTCGAAGGCAATGAAACCGGCTAGTGCATGCACACAAGGATACTTTTGGATATCGAACGTATTCATCACCCCTATCATCACCCCTATCATCACATCTATCCATAGATTCATCACGTGATCCAATCTCAGGATCTTGAGTATCATCAACCTCCATTATTGCCTCATTTGGTTATGTTCCTTGTTCATCGCATTCGCACAAAACGATGGCAGCACTATCTCTCATTTCATCCTCATTTGAATCCAATTCCGCATAGTTCTTACCAACAGAACTTTTATTGAGGAGCTCCGCTCTCGACAGTTGCTCGGGCAATTCTGGTGGAGTGATGATGTCCACATTCAAAACATATCTACGGTTATTTTCACCTGAAGATATATAGACACCTACATCCTCATCATCACTAATGTAAATCTCTTCAGTTGGTCCCATCAGCACTGCATTGTACCTCATTTGCAATTTAACCTTACTTTCATCTAATCCAAGCTTCGTGCATATCCTACCTTCTAACATGGAGAGAGTTATTTTCCCCCTCATGTATTCATCATCAAGCTATACATGCGACCTTTGCATTTAAAATATATGTTCACGTTCTCCATCATTGTATCCTGCAAAAACAATATAAAAAGTCTGTCAGTTATACTAGTTGTACTAGTTGTACTACAATTCTGGGTAATACTAGTATAACTAGTCATACTACATGTAAATGGGTAATACTAGTATAACTAGTAATACTACGTATATATTTTTCAACAGATTCAGGTACATTTCTACCCAGTTCTACCAGTTGTACTTTCGCGACAAGAACTCAATCGAATGGTTTCGGGTCCAAAACTATGATTCACTATGATTCAGTTGCTGTAATTCATTTCTTACCCATTTACAGACCTATTCGACCCAGAAACTATGCATAAACTTCCAATGTGCATACCCAAACACAATTACTCAAATCTAATTGAATTGAATCTCATTGTCTAAATCCTAAACTTCTATATCAAGCTCTATGCAGCTAAAGGAACTAACCTGTCTCACCGCAGCTCGCCGGAAGCTCGCCAGAACGGAAGAAACGGCAACAATGCAGCTCGCCGGAGGTGGAGCTCGAGCTCGAGAAGAGAGCTCCCGTTGTTTTTTTTTTTTTTTTTCTGGGTACGATTTTTTTTTTTGTTTAATTAAAATTCAAATAAATAAATTACAATACTAATAAATAAAGAGAGGGTAAAATGGTCAAGCCACATTTCATTAATGGAGAAGGGGATATGTAGACAAAAAAGGGATATAAGAGGTTTGGTGTTTCCCAAAAGAGAGTTATGAGATGATTTCTCGTAAAATTCAAATAATTGACGAATCAAAGCTTCACAGAGTCATGCGGCGTTCTTCTCCGGTACGCGCACAGATCCACCACCAAAGGCTTGATATGTCCATCGAATCGATCACCGAGAAGATTCTTAGTAAACCGGACCAAACCAGTGCAATAAATTCAGTTGGGTTAGCCGGTGTCTAATTTAGTTTTTTCGGTTTATGAAATATAGTTACTCGATTTTTTTTTTTTTTTAATAAAATGTTAAATTATATTCTAAAAAAAAATACTTTTTATATCAGCTATTTTTTTAATAGTTGAGATAAAATAAGATAGAGATTGAGAAAAAAAAAACACATCGAGTAAAAAACAGAGCATTTGAAAAAGACAGAGAATTTTCTTGAGTTTCTTAGGATGAGTACTTTCCGAACTCGCCCTCAATAGCAAACGATTCATTCCGGATCTTCTTGATTTTCTTCGGAGCCATAACACGAATCGGGAGGATTCAGGGTCACAAAAAAGATCTGGTAAAAATAACGAAGAACACGCCAAGAACACTTTGAAGATCCTTGAAGATCTTCGTAGAAAACTCAGAAAGTGGAAGGAGATGGCGGCGGATCTTCCTCCGAAAGAGACTCTACGACGACGGAACTCAAGAATACACGGCGGGAGCAAGGATAACGACGAAGATTCCTTTGAGCTACGAACAAAAATCTAAGAAACCGGTGAGGATTCCTGGCCTAAATCTATCGGAATGATCCTAAAATGCACAAAGTCTACTCCAAGAACCTAAGCGGAATCAGAATTCTCGACAACTATTCAGAGAAATTAAAGAGATAAGAGGCAAGAAATTTACCTTAAATAAGCGGAGAAGAGAAGCGACTTCAAGACGTTGAGAGTGTTAACAGAACCCGAAGAGTCCAAATGATTATATAGAGGTCATAGGCGGCAAGTTTGGAAGCCCTAGGTTCTCGAAACGTCGCTCCGTTCCCGAGGAGAATCCCTAGATTCACGGGAAAATCAAAACCCTAGGATCTCGAAACGTCACCTCGACCAGAGGGGAATCCCGGGATCGATGGCATTGAATACCAGATTTCCGTTTCGGAAGATTCTCAGTATCTCAAGTATCCCGAAGTGAGAATACTTCGAAACACTTGGGGGCAGATTGTTGGTGTCGGATCTCGCTTACGATCCGGCCCAAATCGCTTATGGGCTTTAAAAGAAAAATAGCCCACTGTGTGGGGAAACTAAAAACATATGGGCCCGTCTGCTAGGCCCATTCGAGCTCGAATTTCACTCGGCCTAACGGAGCGGTTTCGTGGAGTAAAGGAGGGACGTTAATTACGGACTCGTTGACTAGAAAGATTCGAAACGGACACAGTAATGAGGACGTGATTTGCGGCGAGATTTGTTACTCCGGATCTCTACCATGTAACTATAAATAGTAGTGAAAAGAAATTGTAAAAGGGGGACAGTTCTCCTAAGAGGATCAATATATACAATTTTCAATCAGTTTCTTTGAGACTTTTATTTTGATCGATATTCGTTTTGCCGAGACTAGAGACCCGTGCAAATCACGATTATCTATATTGCGAATTATGACATCCACAACTGTCAAGCCTCCAAGATCTCTCTACTCTTCCCATACATTTTGTTTCAAGTTTAGTTTAAACAATGTCGGGTTGCTGTTGTTGGTGTGGGTATAGATAACAAAGATGTCTCCTTCATGCTCCATCAAATGCACTGGACAAAGATGATACTCCTGGATAAAGGCCGGGCATGATTTCACCGGAAGACGGTTCCACGTTTCTTCCTGAGGTGATATAGGAGAAGCTGAGAAAGCATGGCAACCCTCGAGGTAATTGCGTGTCCCCTTGGATAAATAGAAGTGCTTTCTGGTAAGAAGGTTAAGAAAGAATGTGTGACTATGTTTGTGTATTCTCACAAGCACCCAAATTTCAGCGCTTTCCTCCATCGTCAACCACGGTGGACATAAAGGGAATTGTTGGGATTGATCCCTTTGATTGGATCTGCAAAAGAACCATTGATAGATAGACATTAGAATTAATAATTCTAATGTCTATCAACCATGTCCAATAAAACAAAACGAAAATCCAAAAGTCTAAATAAGGGAACCCGTAGACCAAAAAACGTTGTATAAATCACAAAATACATGTGGCAAATGAAAAACAAGTTGGATGACACGTGGGAATTCGAAGAGATGGGAGTCTCCAATCACCGGTAGATTGTTATGACGCCAAAAAACTTCAATTCTGGCCGATATCATCAGAAAGCTTACTCAATTCTTGCGAAATATCTCAATCTTCACGCAGAGAAACAAAGACGAAACTCTAATTTAAGATTTGATGAGATAATAACCAGACGACGAGTAATATTTTTTCTAAAAGATTTTTAGATAGATAATTAAATTAGTTATTTCTTCAAATATCATTGCCCTTTTTGTCTTTATTTTTTCTAAGTCTCATATACTGTATCATATAATTTGGAAAAATATATTAATTTATTGAACATTATATTAAATACAATTAGATTCAAAAACCAAAAAAGGAAGTTTCCCTTATAAAAAAAAAAGTTCACTCATTAGAAGAAGTCGTATCCTAATAGCCAAAATACTTTCAGAAATCTGCTATATAACTATATCTTTATAGTCGAACAACACTTATTTTAGTTTTGGAAATAAAAAAATAGATTATAATATGGAGCCATATCTTTTTTATTTAAATAATCAACATTATTTAACTTTCCTAAATTGTTAATGAATCAAAATTGGATATATTCTTAGGTTTTTTACTATGCACTTGAGTATTTTCAGCTATCACCTCGTCTTTATTTACTTGCAAGCAGACCATCAAATCTTAAGATTAAATATGACAATCCACACCACACTGTCGGCAACACCAAGATGCAGCGGATCAGATGTCATATTGCTCCTTGAAACCATTTCATGTAGCTTTAGTCGTTCTTTGGAACATAGTTGAGTTATTTTACCTATAACGTGTAAATAATTTTCATTTTTTCACTCGAAGGATGGGTAGAATATTTTGGAATTTTTTCCATAGGCATATTAGTTAAGAGATTCACCTAAATTAGAAGAATAGATTTATTCCTTTCATAATTTGTAAACCAAAATATTTATCCATTTGAAAAAGTTATAATAACAATAAAAAATGACTTGTAATTAATATTAACATAATAAATTATAACATGAAACAAGTTTTAAATCAGCACATCTCTAGTATCAAAGGATTTCATTGAAGATCATTTAGTGAAATCTCCATGAGAATAAATTAAAATAATTAAGACTTTCTGATCAAAAAGAATTATGTATACAATAATAGTTTAAATTTTGGACCAAATCAATTATGTATACAAATAATAAACTGTAAGCGAACTGTTTTATGAATTGTCTTCTTTTCTATAGGGAAAATGTAATAACATTTGTTTATTCAGTGAAAAATATTAATATCATAAAAGTATTATTATATTTGAATCTATAAATTATTTGATAGACAATCATAATAATCGTTAGGTTATAAACCCCGATTCATTATTTTACTACTTTATTATAAATTTCTTATTAGTGTAAATAAAAATTAAGGGCAATGATAAAAGCATATACACTTCTTATTAGAAGTGCAAATACCGGCTCCTTTCCCCCTCTTCTTCACACACATAGAGTCACACTCTGTAGCAACACAGTTGGATTGCTTTAGAATTTCATTACATTGTTTTGGTTTTCCTAACCCCTCATTTGCCACCACTCCTGTTACAATAATATGTACTAGATCATGACCCGCACATACGTGCGGGATTTCATATTTTAAGAAATGTGTTGTAATAAATTTTTATTAAATATATGATTATTTTGTTGTTTTAGTGATATATATTGTATTGAATAAATTATAATGTACACAGAAAAGTATAAAATGTTATTTATGTTTGCTTATGCCACAATAGCAACCATAAGTCATTTTTTGGAGTTTGAAACTGAAGAGTAGATTAGAAAAAAATCTTAGATTGAAATATAATATAAGTTAGATTGATGTAAAAAATATTATTTAGTTATAGTATCTATAACCTAAACTCATATTAGTTGGTTGAAATATTTGAAATAATAATGATTTTAATAGTATTTTAAAATTCGTAACAATCAAACGGTCGGACCAAGATCAAACTGAATCGAATTAATGGTCAGGTAGATTTTTATTAAACTTGTGAACATTAAACTTGTAAACTATCAAACCGTATATAAAACCGTTAAAAGGACTAAATACGTTTGCGAGAAATGGA